ACATAAGATATAACTAAAATAAAAAGCCATTGGTGGTCTCTACTCTGCACAATTCTGCAATTAAAAGAAAATTATTGGATAACCCACAAAGGCTGTTTAACCAACCAGGGTAATGAAGACAAAACAATGGCTATAGTGACCATATAAGATGGGACAAAATACTAAAAGAAAATCTTAATATCACATTAGCAAATTGCACTCTGGCCGTTTCCTTTTAACATCTGGAAAGTAGCCATAGACTTGGCACAGTGTTGGCCTCCCACAAAGACCTAAGCAGATCTCGTTCAATTGTGGAGGCCAAGCTAAAAATTTAAAATATATACATTTTCTGAAACACTCATGGTATTGAACTATTCTGATTTGTTGGTAATTGCAGCACAGTGAGACATGAAGGAGTGAGACTAGAGGTCATTCTGCCCTTAAATAGTGCAGTATAACCATGGAATAAAAAAAAAATCAAACAGTGTTAAATAGCAAAATGTGTAGATTGAGATAACAAGACCTTCAGGCTATGTTTCACCCAACTTGTCCAAGATTAAAGGAGAATCGGCACCCAATATTTGATTTTTAGAACTGTATAAGCATCTATTATATATTTGGATTTTTTTTTTTATTCATTCTATCAACTTTGTTCTGCTTTTACATTTTGTAAACGAAAGAATGTGCTACTAAAATTGTTAAGAAGAAATGGAAATTTAAATTAAAAAAAATACCGTGTACTAATTCTCCTTTTAAGATTTAAAATCCTATAAAACGCTTGGGAGGGGGAAAAGTGCTTTGTAACACACAGACATGTTTATATTGCCAAGACTGCAAGAAATGTTCATTGAAACAAGAAAAATGACTTTTGTTTCCTACAGAACCTACTCCCAACGCTAGATAATCGCCTACGTTTTCTTTTGCCTAATCAAATATACCGCTGTAAACAAGAGGGATTAAATAAACTTTTTCTAATCCCTTTAGGAAGAATGATTTGAGCTTCCACCTACAGACATAAAAGAAATGTAATAATTTTTCACATAAGCAAAAAAGGATAAAACAAAATAAGGCACTCAGGAAAGCCTATACAATCAAAGTTCTCGGAACATTCAAAACACCCCTTTTTATTTTTTTGTAAAATCTTTTTAGAATTAGAAATGATCATCCATGCAGTCTTTCACATCATTAATCCTCGACACACAGAAAACGTTAGTGCAAATGACTTACTTGCGTCACCATGTGATAGTAAGTCCTATACCATTCACATTTGTTTTACAGTTTTATCCTACATCTTCTGCTTTCCTAAACTAAAATATATACAGGAAGAAATTAGGCAAATAAAAAAAATATATATTTCTCTCCCATTGTGCAAGGTGCCTCTCAAACTCCCCAGATCAAGTTATGCTCTACATCATTTTATTTTTGTTTATACAGTCTGTGCAATAAGTGAATTTTATTCTACATTGGACCAAAATGGCCCGAAATTATTCTATTTTGACTTATGAAATTGGGATTTTAAAGCACATTCATAAAAAAAACCATACATATTCTACATTCAAGGCCTTTCTCCGGAACTGCCATTGATTCACAGACTCTGATCAACTAAAATACACACACTCGCGCATTTCATTTCAAATATAATAAGTGCTTTCTCATAAGTTCTGCAGATTAATACCGCTTTGGTTTTAACCTTTATTGATCTTCAAATACATTAATACCTGCACTGCAGATACCATTCCCAAGGTCCACTGTGCTAAAGAGGGTACCTTGTTTTTTCAACTGCTTTTATCTAGACTATAGTCTACTAGCTTGTGCCTAAATCTCATTTCTAAACTGCTAAATACCTGTATTAAATAATGTTGTGTTTGACAATTCGTATCATGGCTGTGTAGCCAGTTGTATATAGTATGAAGAACACAATGCATATCAATCCTCAGGATAAAAAGAGGATTTTTTTTTCTTAACCTGGTCATTTGGCTATATCTCAGGGAGCAAATTTTGGTCCTGACATTACTTCACTGGGATTGATTAAGCAGGGACCAATGTTACCAACAAACATTGCTTGATCAATGATTGCCAGTTAATGATCCCAATTTAACATGCGCTCACTGCTTTTTGTGTATACATTAAATGCATTCTAATTTTTTTTCTATGTAGCATAATTTGAATCTTTACCAGCTAAAGTACCCACAGATGTTGAACCATGGTTGTTTATTTACAAGGACCATATGATATTCACAGTCTTCCTATTTTGTTATCGCCCAAAAACATTCAATCCATAATGTTTTTATTTTAGCTTCTAGGACTATATTTTGTCTTTTCAAAATGCATAGACTGCGCAGTAATTGCAAAAAAACAAGTCATAACTGTTTCATATAGGATGAAAAAGTTATCTTGGCTATGTGACCATCTTCACTAACCAAAGCTCACAGTATCCCAAAAATGTACCCTCAAAACTAAGCCTGTAAACACACAAGTGTTGACTTCATACAGCTAACCAAAGGGTCACAAACTGAACCATAGTCTGTTACTACATTCTGAGCCATTTGCTGGAAGCTCCAAATATGGCATTGGCTGGAGACCACAAAGTTTTAATAAATTTCCAATGGTTCATAGCTTCTCATCTGAAAATTGAAGCATGGCCTCTCTCTCAAGGTCAACCAGGGCTGGACAGCCATTTAGCTATTGAGAAACTTCAGCACCAACATGCTTGAGCTTCAAATTCTGAAAGGGCTGATCATAGGATGTTCAACCTTTTGGTGTAAATGATCGCTGTCCTACATTTTCATGGTGGTCCCATTGCAATTTCTTTGTGGATCTTCTAAGGCAAGAAAGCAGCATTGTGCTGACCTTATCTATCTTAAAGATGGTATGTGGTCAACAACTGGACTCACCCACTTCTCTTTCCATATCTAACAAACTCACCTACCTTGCAAATAGTTCTATATATAACTAATCTGTATCTAAGTGCACATCAATTATTCTTCTGTTCCTCAGAATAAGTAATTTGAGAAGCTCTGTGCCTTTTAGGACATTTTAATAGAAGTGTTTTCTGAGAATAAAGTGCGAGTAATCTGCATCAAAAGCTAAAAAACAAACAGAAAAAAACCAATGTATTTCACATTTAAGTGAGAGGAGAAAGCCTGATCAGATGATGACCTGATCCTACCTCATCTGCAGGACCCCAGAGAATTCTGGGAAATGCATGCATCAAAAACAAACTTCATTAATTTATGGCAGCTTGGGAGGTATCCAAAAGGCAGAGGGGAATACTTTCTGAAATATGCATTAAGACTGATATAAAAATCAATAATCTGATTTTACATGACAAATGCAGTGTGTGGTAAACACAATGTTCCCGTGGAAAAGGAAAAGAACAACAGAAGACCAAAAGCTCCTCTAGGCTAGATCTGTAGTTTATCCAGTCTGTCCTCTGATTTCTCAGAAATAATTAGCTTCTTTGACACGCATGAAATAAACACAGAGCCTTTAACGGCATAGGCATGTTCATATAATATGATGTAGCTAATGGTTCACAAAGGAGCATCAAAACATTTTCAAATGCTCCAAGTAGAAGAATTGTGGAAATGCCTAGAACCCTGTACATTTTTCTGAGTTGTGCAACAGACACACAAGGCCCTAAAGAAGAAACTACTATTATATGTTCTAAAACATTAAAGAACAAATAGAACTTTAGAGCAGCCAAGACTAAGCAGTTTTCAAGAACCTCAAGACTGAGCGGACTTTAAAAACCTGTAGCCTCAAAATTCAACTAATGCACAAGACCTGCTTGTCTGAATAACCTCCCAGAAGCACAAATCAACCCATATACAGCTCAATACGTACAAAACCCATTTGTGTTGCATTCAATCTACTTGCATCAATACATACAGGTGAAACTCGAATAATTAGAATATCGTGCAAAAGTAATGGCAGTAAGTGCTGCAAAAGGGGCCCAAACCAAGTACAGAGTACATATGCATGCTTGTACTTTTCAGAGGTCCTATATTGTTCTATGTACAATCCTTGTTTTATTGATTGCATGTAATAATCTACTTTTTTGAGGTTGTGGATTTGGGGTTCTTGGGGTTTTCATGAGCTGTAAGCCATAATCATCACCATTATGACAAATCACGGCTTGAATTATCTTGCTTTGCATGTAATGAGTCTATCTCATATATTAGTTTCACCTTTTAAGTTGCATTAGTGAAATAAATGGAACTTTGCACGATATTCTAATTATTCGAGTTTCACCTGTATACCCAAGCATGTATGCCAAGGGCAGGTTGCTATAGATGTTTCCTTCCTTCCTAACAACTAAGAGCCCAAGAAAATGAAATCTTCAATTCCAAACTCCAACAAAAAGTATTAAAAAAAAATTCCAACTATTAACACTCTTGAAGTTCCTTTCATAGTTTACCTTTTAAATGGTTTTTAATACATGCATAGTTCATTTTTAAGATTCTCCCAAAACAAATGCCCTAATTATAGCTAGATATTACAATTTGTGATGCAATGAAAAAAAGTCCAATAGTCCCTTTTCAACTACATCTCTCTCATGTGTAAGAAAAAAAAATGAAGCCAATCGTGCTATTGTTTATAAAAGAACATTTGTAACAGTGCAAATACTAGAAAATATTTTCTTTTCCAACTTTTTTTCAGTTTTACATAGATTCCATTCCTGGTTAAACGTCCCAAAAGTAAGACTCTAGATTATGATTTAACATGGGTAACAAAGCTAAAAACAATGTAACAGAGCTTGCTGGCTTTGATTTCATTATTTGGTTTGATTAGAAACCAGCAAAGATTAATTCTACTGGTGGGTGGTCTTCAAAGCAAATCAATGCAAACTTTTTTTTTAGTCGCCACCCTAAACACCCTGTTAATAACAAAATTGGTACTTACTTCTGAAGATACCAGGTGAATTCAACAAAAAGTCTGTATTCTCTCATCTAAAATATAACTAGAGGTTTTAGGCTAGTGAATAACAAAAAAAAAATTAAACTATAAATTGCAAAAAAGGCCAATATCTCAGTTTTAATACACAATTTCATACAAACTTGCCATTTGATGGCGCCCAAACCTGCTTTGCAGATTGCAATAGTCCAAGAAATTCCTTGCTCCAAAATGGAAGGATGACAGACAATAAGTGATGGTAACGTCCCATTTAAACCATTAATGGATTAATGAACGGTGACGATTTTTAAACTTTTTTTCTCTTTTTTTTTTTTTTTCTTCTTAAACACGTGCTTTTGTGAGTGGAAGATAAAACAAATAGATGCATTCATTAGAGTAAATTCCATTTTAAAAATGAGCCCATTTTGTTTTATAACTAAGCAGGTCTCATTTGACCTGATCGTTTACAGTATAACGAATGCGATTATTTTTCCTTTGTAATTTTTTTGTTTTTTGAGTGTTTTTGTTTTAAATACAAGCAGAATAAAAATCACATTTTAGTCAGGCAAAAATAGCAGTTCTGAAGTAAGTGGCTGATCACATTTTGTTTGTTTTTTGTATCATATTAGTAATGCATGCAAGCAGAGCTAGAATTACAACTTCCCTTACAGGTCACCGTGCGGACTCCCTGTTGGCTTTTCTTCACAATCTATAAAGTCCCGCTGTACGAAGCTTCTTGTCTCCGCACTGGGGTCTCTGGCCTGCTGGTAGAGCCGGCTTCTTGTTCAAAAGAGGTTGGAGGTGGGCTTGGGTTGTCCGATGTCAACGGATCGGTGCCACCTACCTCCTGAATGACGGACCCTGTTGCTCCTTCAGCCTCCTGGCTCTGTTCGAATGGAGGACTGGCATTGGCGGTGAGGTCTATATTTGCTGTGTTAGTTCTCAAGGACACTATGGCGCCAGAATCACCTCTCCGCTCTGCATAGATACGTTGCTCGAACACTTGGGCTGGACTGGGCTGGAAGTCTGACTCCAGTGGGACTCCGGCCGCTGTTGCACCCATCACAGAACGATACATCTCCACCCCTTCTGGCAGCATTGATTTTATCTTGGGGAGCCAGCGTTTACGTACCCTGCGGGCATTGGTGCACATATCTGCTGCAATAACATTCATCTCGCTCTCCTTGAAATTGGGTGCAAAGTTCTGGCAATACACTGCAAATACATAAACATGTAAAGTTTAAAATAAATACAAATATTAATTCTGCTGAGCATTAGTTGTTTAATAAATAAAATGGGCCCTAAAAGCAACTGCTTTTAGGGAAATTTCATTTGTGGTGCCCCCATGCTTACTTTTTTTTTTTACCGTTTAGCTCCTTTGTGTGACCAATCCTCCTGCCCAGCATTTCATAGCTGAGTACATTTAAATTAAAGAGGATCTTTAGGTAATTTTTTTTAATAGCAGAAGAGACTCTGTTTGCCCCTTCTGCCATAAAACTCTACTTCCTGCCTGCTAAAAATATTTTCATAATTGTACAATCCCGGCATCTCACAAATGCCGAGACAAGGTAACTCTTGTGCACATGTGCGGGAGTCACATAATTTATGGTGGTAATGCAATAAAGGAGAAGAATTTCAGACCTCAAAGACCTGCAAAAGATGGCAGCAATGAACCAGAGTGTGGATGTTGCATTGCTGGAGGAGGCTCACTGAGAGGCAGGTGTACTGTAAGCTGCAATATCTCCTGAGGCCCAAAATGGTAAAGTTCCACTTTAATGACAGCCAGCATCCAATAATTTCCTGTACCTCCCCATTGGGCAGGGAGGCTACCCATGACATGGATGGATCTATAGTGAAGTACAAGAGGCAGGACGGGTGGGCCAAAGCACCATCTTCTAGGATAAAGTCAGTATTTGCCCCATGACTAACTCTAGGTTGCTCAAGCTGTGCTCAGGCTCCTGCATTTATTATTGGGTTGTCATTTTATACTATTCTTCTCTATTGCAGGTACACCTTTATGGGAAATAAAACGTGCTCATGTCTGACCGGTCCCCACACTATCTGGTAGGTAGAATATTTTCTGTAAACACTAAAGACTGCTCTGACTTCTACCTTTCACCTGCAGTAATGTGTCACTTTTATGGACTCCCCAGAGGTTGTCTTAGAACTTGCACAACATGGGTGTTAGTCTCTAATTACACTACATGCGACTCGTGTAGCATAGACATTGTAATCTTTAGTGACCTAAGCAAAAAAAGGGGATTAATCATCTTAGAGCCTCCTAGTACATGCTGTTTTCTCCTGTTCAGTCTGTTCTGGCGGTACAGACTGATATGCACACGACAGTTTAAGGTTCTGTATTTAAAAATCAAGTACCCTATTAATCCACACTGGAGTGTTTATTCCTGCTACTGTCTTTGTTTTTAATTGGGGTCATGTCTTAAAATACATTATTGGAGGAGAGACTTGTTATGTGTTTTTAGGGGACTGGTTATTCTTAAGGATTTCTAAGGATATAGTACTGCAGCAGAACTTTGTTGTTTTTGGCAGTTTTGTACTCTGAGACATTTTTCATCACTTAGGTCATGCCTACAAAGTGACAGCCCACCCATAGCTGGTTTCAGCATTCACCCTCCAAACTCTATATAAATAAATAGTGGAAGCTCTGAAAAGCTCACCTTTTCTTTAATGTTCTCAGACATCTGCCGTCTGTGAGTACTAGTCATATTTACCATGAAGTAATGTTCAATGTGACTGTCAGATTTTCCCATAGCATACTTTAACTACTGTACATACATGGGTTTGTAAACTCCCCTTTCAGTGGCTATCCATATGTATAAAACGGTCAGTCAATTTCCCCAATTAATAACCGCTGAGCTTTAGACACATAGAGAGCACATTGTTTACAGCAGACAGATGACTGGTAGATGAGCATTGAGTGATCGGAACAGTGAAGACCAATCACTGAATAGCGGAAGGAAGTGCCTTATAAAATCACAAATCCCATGTACTCCATCTACAATATAAATAATAGGCTACAGATTAATATCACTTTAAGGGGAAAAAAATAGCTTTCATGTATAAAGGAGAAAGATGGGGTAAGTGTTTTTCCCCATAGTTCTCCTCAGGGTAACGGGAGGACATAAACTAGCGTCCTCCCGTGACCCAAAACTCAGTACACCGCGAGCTGTAGTATACTGAGACCACCGCAGCTGGGACGGATCCAGACATTACTGTCGAGATCCACCCATTTGCGTGACTGACAGCTGGCTCTGCCTATTTTGAGGCAAAGACAGCTGTGCCCGCCCCCTCCCCCATTCAGCGCTGGAGGATCGGAGCGGGGAAGGGGGAATCCCTGCAGGGAGCCGTGAGTGACTGTCTCGGCTCTCTGCGGGGACAGGATCGAGAAGTGAGCGAGCGACGGTATGTTTTCGCTCACTTCCCGATCTATTGAGCCGAAGTGTGACAGTTTCATTGTCACACGTCGGCTCGAACTATGAGGATGAGTGAAAATCAGTCGCCTCATAGTTCTTTAAAGTCAAAAGGTTTTTAAGCGATTCTAAATGCTTATTAGATCACGTAAAATGGATGCTGCTCCTTGATGATTACAAGTTTTAGCTTCCTACATAATTCGCTGATCCCCTGAGCACTGACCCTGATATCCTGATTTAGGGAGACTCTTTTGCCTTGCAGGGTCTTATGGAGGCGCCCTTGTGTGTGCGAGTAAGCTGTGTGCATTTCCACAAAACACACAGGCACAGCAAGGCAAGACACCACTCCCCTGTGCTTCCCTCTCCTCCAAGCTAGTAGATGGACAGTTGCTGGAGCCTATGCTATCCCTTGTGATCTTGTACTAGACAGGAAGTTCAGGGAACCTGAGTGTAAAGATTTGGAGGCAGCTGTTTTGAAACAGGATGGCTATAAGCCCTTGGGCAAAAATGCAAATAAATACTTTGCTGTAAAATGTATATTTGATCTATTTGTATTTATTAGGGATGTCCCGATAACAATACTAGTATTGGTGCCGATACAGGGCATTTTCACAAGTACTAGTGACAATGCATTGATACATAGAGCCAATACTTGTACCTTAAATTTTTTAGGAGGCTTCAGGCTGCTCAGAGGTACCGCGTATGTTGGGATCTTGTGGGCAGCCTGCCGGGCAGCTAAACTAGGACCTCCCAGAAGCGCCTCCCACAAGCCTACAAGAGACACTGAGCACGGCCACGAGAGTGACTATTTCTGCAGTGTACTGGAAGATTTTCACTCATCCTCATAGTTAGAGCCGACTTGCAATAATGAAACTGTCACACGTCAGCTCTATTGATCGTGAAGTGAGTGAGCACATACTGTTGCTCACTCGCTTTCCGATAGTCACCGCTCCCCACAGGGATTCCCCTCTCTGATTTTCCAGCGCTGACCGGAGGAACGGACAGGGGAGGGCACAGGCACAGCTCGCTCTGCCTCTAGATTGACAGCTGGCTCTGCCTATCAGCTAGCTGGTTGGACCTCGACAGTATTGTCGGGATCCGTCCGGGCTGCAGCTTTGGGTGACGGGAGGATGTTAGTATATGTCCTCCCATGACCCTGAAGAGAACTATGGGATAGAAAGTTTATCCCAGAAAGTTTATAGTTCAAAGGTACAACATTGGCTGCAGTTTGGACCAAGCACCATCAATGTGATATTTACTTACATTTCACAGCGTTGAGCACTCTGCTGTCCAATGGCTTCCTGCTGGGGTCACTGGTGGAAGAGCGGATTCCGGTGCCGCAGCTGTTAGCGAGAGTGTTTCTGAAACAGCCAATGACACATTAGAAAGACTAAGATTATAATGCAATTCGTAGACACACATGGCAGTTAAGCTTTGGATACAGAGGTAGTTACTGGCATACTACAGCCCTAATAAATAGATAATTTCCAAGGAGAGTTTTCAGTTAAGCTGACTATTCTATTGTACTGAAACAAGTTGGTGGAGAATACTGAGGCCAGCATTGATGAACTCTCTTTCTAAAAAAAAAATCTAGCTGCCTGGATGTCAGGCTGATCCTGTATCTTCTTTACTCAGGAGTCACTAACTTGCAAGTATGCTTATCAGGAGCAGACTTCATGCTAACTTTAAGACTGCTTGCTTGCTCTGGGTCAGGGTTTAAAATATTGATATCAGAGCCCGCTAGAGAATTTGTATTCCAAGATGGAGGTTAATGCAGTGTCTCTTACTACAGGTTATCTTTAACAGTTTAAGGGAAGTTCTTAAAGTGGGACACCAGCCAAAACATGTTATTAAATTGTGAATAAAATGTGTAAGGGTTAGAACCTGTCTGTTCTAATCCCCCCGATAAGTAGATTTCTCCACCCTGACACGCAAGATTTCTCACTCTGACATCCTGTCCTGCAATGGGGGACAGGATGTCAGAGTTACATAGTCTTAAAAATCAAAGAAACCATTGGCAGATGTAGAAAGTGATTTTTCATTACTGAAAAGAAAGGATATTTCTTGGGACAAATCAATATTTTTTTCCCCTAACAGGCAGCAGAATAAAGAATGGCCAGATAACAGGCAAATGGACCTACCGATCAAAGAACGTGGCAAGGAGTCGTCTTAAAAGGACCTTATGCTTCACTCCGGCACAGAGGTGACAGTTCATGAGCTGTCCACGGGTGATGTATACCCCTGAGCCTGCAGAAGAGCATATAAAGGATAAAGATATTCACTCCCAGCAAGAGACCTGAAATTAGATGTCATAGAGATTCTTTTCATTAGGCAGATCTTTTATTATTTACAATCTAAAATAGTCCTGTTCTTATAAAGGCCCATTCCAGTCAAACATGACAATGTTGATATCTTCTCTTGGGAATACCTAGGAATCTAAGCCTGAGGAAATGTAATCACAGTGTTCCATGGTTCCAGCTCCACCTATACATTGGATCAAGAGAAGAACATTGGGAGGAATTTACTACGATTGGAGAAGAAAGAATCCGGAGCAGCTGTGTACAGTAACCAATCAGCTTCTATCTTCAGCTTGTTCAGTTAAGATTTCAAGATGAAAGACAGATGCTGATTGGTTGCCATGCACAGCTGCTCCAGTCTTAATAAATTCCCCTCAGTGTGTGTGTGTTTGTTTGTTTTTTTGGCTTTTGAAAAGTCACTTTAGACCTTTTTTGGGGGTTCAATAGTATGGGCAATGAATGTCCTGAATCAAACTACACATATTTAGCAGTGACATTTTTACCACATAAGGCATTACGCACCTTTGCCACCCAAAAACATTACTAGTAAGAAGTTTAACCCAACCCCAACACAAAAAAAACCTCAACCTGATCTTTATCCAAAACTCCCTACCCTGAACCTCCAACTAAACCTAAACCTGCCTAGCTCTAAAAAAAACACAACCGGACCATGTTAAGCAACCCAACCCTAAAATCTAAGCCTGAACCTCCCCAATACCTAGCTCTGAAACTCCAAATAACCCCCTCATCTCACTGTGAGCATCCAGGTACTTCCTACACCCAAACGCTAAAACTCAACCTAACCCCTACTGCTAACATTGCAAATTATCCCAACCCGAAAAACCTAATCTGAAGCCCCCAGCCATTCCCTAACACCTAACTCAGAACCTCCAACTAACCTCAACACTTTACACAGGATCCCCAACTAATCCTTACAGCTTACCATGGATGGATGTTAAAGAGCTTTTATTCACTTTAAATTGGTTTTGCATTCCTATACAAATCTATAGTAATGCAAACTCTGTTTAAGTCAATTCTTCAGAAGGTCAGCGACAGATCAAATGCACCCATCAATTAAATCTGAATGATCTCAGAAGCATGTCAAATCGATGTCATTGACACAGGCGCTAACTGTTACCCCTAACCGTCATCCCAACCCTAATTAAAAATGTTACAAAACACATCCTGGAGGCGGGGATCATGACGTCACACACCTGTTGAGGGGGGCTGGGGGGAGGGCACAATTTTCTGTTCTTGCCTTGGGCGCAAAAGGAGCTAGCTACGGTTTTGAAGACCCAGCATGTAAAATAAACTGCAACCGATTTTAAAATATGCTCTCCTTGAGGATACCTGGAGGTTTCCCTGTAAAATCATTAATAATCATTCACTTTCGCCTCATTTTCCTGAAATGGAGAAGCAGCTAACACAGAAACCCTTTAAAATAGTGTCCCTGAAACCCCCTCACTTTACCAATCAGTGCCTTCTGTTTGCCTTCCCAAGATCCATGTGGCTGTTCCATACTGAGGAAAAGTGACCTTACACAGGTCCTTTTTTTTTTTTTTCTTTCTTTCTTTCATATAATGTTAAAGACATTGGGATCATGTAACCAGTAAGCTATACTTTCCCAGAATGCATTATAATGCTTAGCAGGGCTGTTCCTTAAAAAAAAAAAAATCTTAATTAAGACAGCTATGCCGAGCAGAATGCGGAATTGGTGAAATTCTCAGCATATGCTTGTTTTAATAGCGTTAATCTTGCTGTCATGTGAAATCCTGGAGGGAAAGGATAAATTCCCCCCCAATTATGGGAAAAGAAGTCCTAGGCTTCTGGCTATCAGGTGTTGGTGAGTCAGGGAGACTTTGGACTTTTCACAAATCACATTCTCTGATAAATCAATGGAACGAGGACAGCGCAGCACTGGGGCTACGGTGAGATCTCAGGGCCTGGCTCCCCCCACCTCCCCTGCGCTCGGCTCCGTTACCTCGAATGAACTCGCGCGCGCGCGCGCGCACACACACACACACAGATCTGCGGGTATTGATTCTAATTATAATGTGCTGACTGCGGAGAAGCGGAACTCCATCCCCTCCAGTCGAGTCAATCTGCACGCTGTGAGATAGGGAGGGTGTCTGCATTATAACACAGGCTGCCAGCTCTATATGCTGAGGAAAGAGAAGGGGAAAAAAAAAAAAGCATCTGAATGGAATTCCTGAGCTCTGGCCCAATGAGAAATTTTTATGGCGACTTTAATAGTACGGCTTGAGGGCCCTGCCATTCAGGGAAGAAGTGGCGCAAGCAGCATCTGTAATCAGAGGTGAAAGGCAGGGCTGGCAATTGCGGGGATACAAAATGAACTAAATGCTCATGCAGTCAATGCTTCAATGTGAACCACTGGGTGGCCATATTGTTAGGTTTGCATTTTGGAAAAGGGTAATGTGAGAACAGTGGGCCTAATGAACCACAGGGATTCGTATGTGTCTAATATTTACTTTATATATACACACACACACACACACACACACACACACACACGTGTGTGTGTATATGTTTGAAAGAAGGCAGCACAGAATGAGATGCAAACATAAAACTAAGTGGTCTTATGATGCTCTGCTTTCTGGTGCCCAGGTAAAACGTGGTACTGAACAGTTGCCTTTGTCCTTCGGTGAATGCAGATGGATCATAGTATGCCTGTCCTGCACTCGCGCGCTGGAGAGGCTAAAAACGGCACATAGGCGCACCACTCATATACACAAAGCTTATAATTCTAAAACGCGAACACAATTTAACTAGCAGGTAAAGAAAAACAACTTCCTGTATTCCTGGCTCTTCAGCATCTCACAGGTTAACAAGATAGATTCAGAGGGAAAAAAAGAAAAATGAAATATGTTGAGACTCCCCAAGGAAGGAGTTGGGATAAAACCCCAAAACACCTGCCAGTGGTGATATTAATTCACCGGAGGAAATAAGTCCATCGCTGGATGCATTATGAGCTGGAGATATTAATCTGCCTGCTGCAGATTGAAAAATGCAAATCGGACTCATCCACAGGTGCGTGCAGGCACGATTTACAGTTGTTCCTCACTGCGAAAATAACCCGTGTCACATTTAATAGCGCCACATAAAATGTAAACGCCAACAAAATGAATATTCTGGCTGCATAACGAGTGCTGGTATTCTGTATGCTAACAAGCGTTTACAGCGCCCCGGCTATTGTGCTGCGCAACTAAATTGATTTTGTTGGAAACATACACAGTAGTTTGGATGTCGGCAGTGTTTTGCGGGGGCGACTGTGGGAGAGAGGAGGCTTAAAGGGACAGTTATCCAAAATGATTATTTGCTTTATGTAGGAGTTAATAAAGGGAAACTATAGTCCTATTGATTTTTGCTTTTTTTTAGATGTGCGTACAAAAAAAAAAAAAAGACTTATTGTAAAGCTTAGTGTGCAATGATCTTTTAAAAAATCTTGTTTCTCTGTATAGTTTTATAATTATACTTGTCCTTAGGAGGCAGCCATTTTTGCTCATTACATATGTAGGCTTTGATTTCTGTGTAGTAGTGCTGAACAGTGACTGTTCCTACTTATCAGTGCCTGGTTTAAAATAAAAACAGAAATCGCATTGGGGTGGTATCCTCTAACCAGTTTTCCTCTGCTGTTTTTCTAGAGAATACTTCTGGCAGTCATGTATAAGCCCCCCTTTAGCCTAAAATGGCAGCTAACATACAGTAGTTTAAGCCGCATACTCAAATAAAGGTGAAATTTTTGGAGCAGACACAATAACTTTTACAGAGATGCTTCTGAATGTCATTAGTGTTTTATGTGACACAAATTATAAATTTAAAGGACCAATAAGCCTAAATTAAAAGTTTTTATTTCCCCCAAGAGCAGTCGGTCACAGGTATCTAACTAACTGGCCACAGACTTGACAATGATATCACGTATAGGGACTTAGGGGTTTATTTCAGATCCCTACACAAGTTGCCTTATTTACAACACAATGATATCCATAAGGTTAATCCAGTTAAGCACTGTGAATTGCAGTAATATGAAAAGTACATTGACCTGGAGCAAGAAATATAAATCATCTTTTTGCTGAGCAGGCTACAGTAAAGAGAACTCTTATTGGCAGCCACAGGTCATTGCACTGCTGTAAGGGATAAGCCTGATAGATTTCCATTTGTTACAAATAAAACAAGTGTCAGAAAGAGGTTAGGGTGATGTTGAATGGAGGCTTCCCATCAGAGCTCTGTACATGTATTTATCTGTAGCCCAGCACCTCAGTCAAGAGTTTATACCCATCCTATCAAAAACCCTAATTTACAATGCCATCTTATGAGAGAGCTGCTACATTGCAAATGCCCAACAGTGTCTTGTAACACAGTGCCAGCCAGTAGTATGGCAGTCCCTTGCTACACTGCACAACATTTGTATTAGTATTTGATTCTATAGTATTTTATTATGAGTCTTTTACAAGGCAGTAGTCTCTAATATGACACTCTTGTTACGGCGAAGGCAACCTTTGCTATGACAGTTTCTTGTATGGTAGTGGAAATATTTGGTATAATAGTGTCTTGTAAGGTTGTGAAAGTCTTTGGTATCATGGTTTCTTGTAAGGCATTGGAAGTCAGTGGTATGATTGTGTCTTGTAAGGCATTGGAAGTCTGTGGTATGATGGTGTCTTGTAAGGCATTGGAAGTCTGTGGTATGATGGTGTCTTGTAAGGCATTGGAAGTCTGTGGTTTGATGGTGTCTTGTAAGGTTGTGGAAGTCTTTAGTATAATGGTGTCTTGTAAGGTTGTGGAAGTCTTTGGTATAATGGTGTCTTGTAAGGCATTGGAAGTCTTTGCTATAATGGTGTCTTGTAAGGTTGTGGAAGTCTTTAGTATAATGGTGTCTTGTAAGGCATTGGAAGTTTGGTATGATGGTGTCTTGTAAGGCATTGGAAGTCTTTGCTATAATGGTGTCTTGTAAGGTTGTGGAAATCTTTAGTATAATGGCGTCTTGTAAGGCATTTGAAGTCTTTGCTATAATGGTGTCTTGTAAGGCAGACGCAATCTTTATAATTTTGTAAGGTAGCGACAGACTTTGTTACATCATATTACAAACTATTACTATATAACAATGCATGCTTGCGCTTTGTGTGTTAATGGAAATCTGTCCTAAAAAAACTACCAAGCCACTGTCACCTTTTGCTAGTTTCCAGGCCAACTTGCTGACCCCCTGGCTTTAGTACTTTTATTTTTTTTGTTAAGTGCACACTCAGTCTGCTCAATAAGCAGCTGCACACCTCTGACTAAAAGTGGTGAAACCAAACGCAGTCAGGCAACTGGCATTTCCTGAAAAAGACAAGCACTGACAGCCACTAAATCCAGCTGAAGCCCCAACAGCATCCAGGCAGGGTTAAAAAAAAAAGTGAGCGCAAGGAACCAGAAGATCAAAGAGCTAAAAACAGATCAATGAGATTCACTTACCTGCAGGATTGCTATTTGTTCCTTCCTCTGACAGCGCATACATAAGGGGTCTAAGTATTTCAGTGGAAGGTTGTGTACTCCCTTTACTCAAACAGGAAAATATGCCATCATCCAACATGAAGGAGCGTGGGACTCTGGCTTATAGCATGTTTTACATTTTTCACTAGATTTTCTTGGATTGACTCATCCCTAGTAATAACCAATCAAATGTATCCTGTGATAGAGCATAAGAGCAGAAAAATAAGCGACTGAAACTGAATAGCTGCCAGAAATTGGCCAAAGCAGTACTTTCTTCTGACAGGTTCATACCTTACTGCTGTTCCTAGTGGATGAAAAAGGCACAGCTGGTTTAAATAACTGTATTTACCTGCAACCAGTTCCAACTTCTCGCCCGGGTCACCTTCTGAGTAGAGCTTCGGGTGGCAGCGGTAGCCAATCTGACTAATGAGACTTGCTGGAAGTGCCACCAGGTCTCTCCGAATCAGGACACAGGAACGATTCTCCAGTGAGTTCTGTATCTGATCTCCTTTATCCTGACCAACTAATGAAAAAAAAAGGACATTACAAAAGAGCACAACTATACTCAGCTCTGCTGGAGGATGTCTCTTCTTACACTATCTCGCCTCTCATCAAACAAATTGTACTGAAAGACTCTTTCTGCTGCCTGATGACTCCGCTCCTTTCACAATCTATGCTCTGTGTTGTTGAAAGAATCTGCTCCTTCCACTATCTAATTCTTCTCTCCAGAAATACTCTATGCTTCCAGAGGACTCTGCCATTCTGCTAAGGCTCCTCTTCCAAAATACTCTGTGCTGCTGGAGGACTCTGCTCCTTCCACTATATAATTCTCCTCTCCTGAAATACTCTGTGCTGCTGGAGGACTCTGCTCCTTCCACTATATAATTCTCCTCTCCTGAAATACTCTGTGCTGCTGGAGGACTCTGCTCCTTCTTCTATCCAACTCTCCTCTCCTAAAATACTCTGTGCTCGTGGAGGACTCTGCACTTTTATCTATCTAACTCTCCTTATTTGAAACACGATGTGATGCTGGAGGACTCTGCTTATTCCTCTAACTCTCCTCTCCTGAAATACTCTGTGCTGTTGGAGAACTCTGCTTCTTCCTCTATCCAACTGTCCTCTCCTGAAATACTCTGTGCTCCCTGAGGACTCTGCACTTTCCTCTGACTCTCCTCACCTGAAACACGCTATATTTCTGGAGAGGACTCTGTTCCTTCCTTTATCTAACTCCCCTCACCTGAAGTTTTTTTTTTCTTGGTTAATATTTTTATACAAACATTCAAAAAGAAAATATTGTACATCACTCAACAAATTACAATCTTTATATATAAATTTCACTCAATAAAGCACATAGCTCCTTATATTTCACATCATGTACTTAGCTTAAATATTCACCTAAGTCTCTATATCCATTGTCCACTGGCCCATTTCTTAGCCCTAAAAAAAAACAAAAACCCAAAGTGGTGAATTTATTCAAACATATAATTTCTTGTATCCGCCTTCACAATACCTTCCTTCAAAGTGTCCACTCAATTTACACTCCTTATCTCCTACCTCCCAATTCATAACTCAGTGAATTTATCCATATTCATTTACTCCATCAGGATCTATATTATTATCTAAAAGGTGAAGGAAAAAAAACAACAACCCTGAAATACTCTGTGATGAACTCTGCAGTTTCCTCTAACTCTTCTCACCTGAAACACACCCTACTGCTATACAACTATCCACTCCTGAAATACTCTGTACTGGTAAAGGACTCCGCTCCTTTCACCATCTAACGTGCATTTTTGTACTTGACATTTTGCAATTACTTCCAAGCTAGCTAACCCCTCTTTATACAGCCCCTCTACTTGCTACAAATAAGTAAAACATATATGTACATATAAAAATGTTATATCCTTTAGTTAGTGTAAGGACTGGCCAGAATGGGATCACTTTGATGCAGCTGGCCAGCTTTAAGATAATATGTAATTCACATACACACACACAAACCATCTGGAAATAAACAAGTGCTCAGCACAGCATTGGCGAGAGCTGTGGCAACATTCTGATCCAATATATTGCAGGGTCTACATCAACAGATATTAATTATGTCAGCTCTGCCTGACAGAACAAAAGGAGGTCCGCACCGCCGAACTGGCAGCCATAAAGCCTGCTGTGGTGGCATCCTTGCAACAAGTACCAGACCTTCCTGAAGTGGCATGGGCACAGGCTACTCCAAACAGATATGTCATTGTTTGGGACAGAACTAGATGCTGCCCAGACAGAACAGAGGCGCCCACTACCTACAGCAATAGACTCTACGTTCTGCCAAGGCAAAGCATGGAACAAGCTGTGCACACTAATGCACCTTATTACAGGGCTATATAAAAGAGCTATTAATAACAGTAACAAATATGTAAACATTTCAGAAGATGATCAGACCTAAATATAAGTCAGATTAAAGGATTACTACACCCAAAGCTACAATTTCAGAATTTGGTGGATGTTTCTCAGATGAGTTCCCAGGTCTACACACCTGTCACTAGGATGGTTCCTTTCTCCCCTTCTGGATCTTTTATTGGTTTATATTTTGGTCCAAGGTGGGTGAGCCCACCAGACTCTTATAACTGAAATCTCATTCTTGAGTAGACAAAGTCTTCTTCAATTACAAGGAAATGATGCACACACAGTATGAGAAGTTTGGTTGTCTGTAGTGTTAACTTGGCGGAGCTATTTATGTAAAAGTGCGGTCTGGAAGGAGTTAATGCTGGTTGCCTATCGGGGATTTTGGACAGGTTACACAGTGTTCCGCTAAATGCCAGCTCCTCCCAGATTCGTATTCCTATAAATTCCCGGGGAGCAGAACAGCGTCTTGTGGCCTTTAGAACCGGCCTGCTCTGTCCTTTTTTAGCGCTTTGCCTTGTCACATGTTGTGAAGTTTATAAATACTCGTATTTCACCGACACCTTGCGTCTCGCAGAACATCTGCCAGTGTGCCTGTGCGATAAAACATTCACCCCTTGTCAGCCAGAGCGACCACAAAACTCTCTGAGGTTATATTAGGATACACCGGGTGCTCATACTAACGCCTTCCCATTACAACAAGGACCTGGGGATCCATACAGTCTCTTGATAAAACTGCTTCAACAGGTTAGAAAATGTGAAATACTTTCTTGAACTCTAACTTTCTGCAGCATTTGTATCTCTCTTAAAAGATATTCATAGTATTCCGTTTTTAAAGTGATGTAGAACTCCATTCAAAACATTGTTAGTTTTGAATAACTTCAGAACTTAAGTTTGGTTTTTATTATTGTCATTGTTCCTCTTAGAGAGGTTCACCTTTACTTCTGACAGACCTTCTAACCCTTCCCCACTTTACTTAAAGGAGAACTATGGGGTCAGTGTTTTTCCCCACAGTTCTCCCCAGGGTCATGTGAGGACACAAACCAGCGTCCTCCAGTGACCCAAAGCTCAGTATACTGCGAGCTACAGCTTGCGGTATACTGAGACCGCCGCAGCCGGGACGGATCCCGACATTACTGTCGAGATCCACTCAGCTGCGTATTTGACAGCTGGCTCTGCCTCTAGATAGGCAGAGCCAGCTGTCAAATACGCAGCTGAGTGGATCTCGACAGTAATGTCGGGATCCGTCCCGGCTGCGGCGGTCTCAGTATACCGCAAGCTGTAGCTCGCAGTATACTGAGCTTTGGGTCACTGGAGGACGCTGGTTTGTGTCCTCACATGACCCTGGGGAGAACTGTGGGGAAAAACACTGACCCCATAGTTCTCCTTTAAAACAAAAAAAATGCTTAGTGGTAGTTTTGCCTTAAAATATGAATAATCTTATGAATGTTTATTAACATTTAAAAAACGTTGTTTCCATGTATAAGTTGTAATATACAGTATGTACATGGGGGCAGCCATATTTACTTATTACACATTTAGAATTTGCACTCTGCGTAGCAGTGCTGCACAATGGTTATGCTAATCTATTTCTCTAAATTCAAGTCTTCTAGTTGGCCCTGGCTGAAGGAAAACAAAAGAGTCTTATTACCTTGCCCAGTCACTGCCTGATTCTGCTCATGTCACAATGTCTAAAGTGTAAGCTGTCCATAGGGAGTAATAAGGAGGAATTGCAAACACTGAAAGCACTCATCACACAAGTATTTTCTACCTTATGGAGGGAATGTGATATCTCAGTTTTCGGTGTATTCAGAAAGTTAGAGTGAAGGTCAGGAGCAAAGTATTTTCTGGATGGTCATGTTGGAGGTTGTGATATCCTGGTGGGGAGTGTAATCAGAAAGGTAGGGAAAAGGTCAGGAGCAGAGTCTGTTCTTCCTTATGAAAAATCAGGTGTGATATCCCAATGCTGAAAAAGAAGGCCAGGAGAAGAATCATTTCTACATTATGAAGAGTCATTTTCGAAAGTGTGACCTTGCTGGGGAGAGTAATCAGAGCAGCAGAGAGAAGGTCAGGGGTGAAAAGTAGAGCGAAGGTCAGGGGCAGAGTACTTTCTTCCTTATGGAGGGTCATGTTGAAGGGAAGGATATCCTAGTAATAAGTGTAATATGAAAAGTAGAAAGAAGGTCAGGGGTAGAGTATTTTCACTCTTTAAGGAGGGTCAGGTTGGAGGGAGGGATATCCTGGTGATGGTTGCAATAAGAAAAGTAGAGAGAAGGCCAGGGGCAGAGTATTTTCTTTCTTATGGAGGGTCAGGTTGGAGGGAGGGATAGGCTAGTGGGAGGGGTGTAATAAGAAAAGTAGAGCGAAGGTCAGGGGCAGAGTACTTTCTTCCTTTATGGAGGGTCACGTTGGAGGGAGGGATATCCTGGTGATGGGTGTAATAAGAAAGCTAGAGAGAAGGTCAGGGGCAGAATATTTTCAAAAAGAGTATAGAACACAAGAGCACTCTGTGACCATTAACTCTTTTCGCTGTCTAGACACGCACTGTTGCTTGCAGTGCAGAGGTCAAAGTAAAGAGAATCGGGAGTTGAGGGAGAGTTCAGCTTGTATTGTCTCCCCAGTACACAGAGATTAAATATTCCAATGCCATTGTATTAGAGCAAACACTTGCAGAATTACTGGCAAAGCCAAAGACTCACTACCTGTCCTTTCCCTGGTTTATTTACCAACTGCCGCTTGGCAATTTGGCCGAGTGCTCCATTAATAACAAACAAAGACTTGCCAAGACAGTAACTGCTGGGACGCTAAAAGCCTACACAATAAGGTTTTGTTCCACAATCACACATATGTACACATATTTCGGGATAGGCTACAAATGTATGTATGTTTGTACAATGCACAGTGACACTTCTCTTGTCCTGTATACTGGATGCAATTCTCAGTATCTGTTCTTATTCTATATGTATGCACAATACCACTTCTCTTGTCCTGTATACGGGATGTAATTCTCAGTATCTGTTCTTATTCTTTATGTATGCACAATACCACTTCTCGTGTCCTGTATACTGGATGCAATTCTCAGTATCTGTTCTTATTCTATATGTATGCACAATACCACTTCTCTTGTCCTGTATA